GACCCAGAAAACAGGCGAAGGAGCTGCCAAGCATTGGCTATGGTAGGAAGGGGGAGGGGAGGCATCTGGGGGTTTCTGGGTCATCGGTGGAATTGCAGTGTGGAAACCGCAGGCATCGTCTGCTTTCAAGTTAGTTCCCCTCCCACTCCGAGATGGTCTGAGCTCCAGGTGGGATCACAAAGAACAAGCTCTTTTTCAAGCCAGAGGCTCTAATTCCCTCCTAGCAGGGGGGAGGTTAAGAGAAAGCAGTCACAGCGCCATTTATTATTAGGGTACTTGAGCGAGAAGTATGACCAACCCTCCTAACAGGACAGACATAGTGGGAAGAGACTAAAAAACCTCCACCTTCACTCCTCCAAACAGCCACGCATTTTAGCTTTGGCCTTCAGCAACTCATCACGGAAGAGATGTGTGAGGCACTGGGGGCTTGAGCTAAACTGAGAACCGTGGATTCTCCTTATCAGAACTGTCCATACTCAACAAATTTCATCCAGTGTTTATGATGTGCCAGGCAGTGTTCTAGCCATTGTACTTACAATAATTTTATGTCTCCCATACGTGCTTCATTTACAAGTGCCATGCAATCTTTCTAGGCAGTGAAAAATCAGCTTCCCTAATTTACACATCTTCTTTTCAAATGGCTGAGGCCACCGGCCTTCTTGTGTTCAGCCCCGAATTGAAGCAGAAGTCACTGGAATATTTGGATGAGGCGGGCCCAGAAACCCAAGAATTTCTTCTCGGCGGTGCTACCCCGTAGGTTAGCCCCGCCTGCTTGCGTTTTGAGGCTACGTAAGTAAGCTGGTGCAGACGTGCTTTGTAGACCGTCGGCCAAATCTCCTAAGCGACCAGTTCCATCACTCAAGGGTGACCAAAGGTTCCTGTCGTTTTTTTTTACTCTTCTGCTTCTCCCCTCCTCCCACGGAATGTATTTTCGTGCTGATGCTACCAGGGATGCAGGCAATATCTTTAGCTCCCTTTTTTGGCTGTTTTTCATCCTTTCTGGTTCTTCCCTGTTTGACACGAATCTGTACAATCTCCTGGGTGTGTAAAACCCGAGTTCTTCTTGAATGGTTGGATGTGAACTTATTGCATGATTATGTACCTATTTTAAAAATGTGTGGGAAAAAAATGTGACTTTGATAGCCTGTCCCTACGATCCTGTAACCGTATAAATGTTCAAATGTGGGAGAGTTACTCTGATTAAAATCACAATCTCAATTCTTTAAATATTAGGTTCCAGGTGGGCTTTTTAAATCCAGTTTAATTCCGGTTACATATAAATGGGTATTTTCAGATAGTTGGAAATAAACAAGTTTACACACGTTTTTGCAAAATTAAAGGAAAAAGGTAGTCCATTAAATTCATGCCCTTGTTCAGTGGTCCTTTAAGGGTTCGGGGCCTTCTATTGATATTCTTTGGCTTTCTCCCTCTTAATACTATTAGAAGGAAGAGGTATCAATTAGTTAACTAATTAATACTATACTAAGAATAAGGAAGAAAGACAAATGGCCTGGAAAATCCATGATGGGATATAGGTCAGGGCTAATTCATCTATTTGTTCATACGGATCTGTAGGTTGCCAGGCCCAGTTTTAGATACTAAGGGTATTGTGGTCAAGGTGGTAGGAGAACTCCATTCTCTGCTTGCATGGAGCTTAAATGTGTATTGGGGTTATGCACACATTTTTACTTTTTTTTTTTTTTTATTTGGTTGACAAATTAGCTTTAATATGATTTAGTACATTTTTACTTTTTATTTCTGCTTTAAAAATTTCTTTCTTTTCTTTCTTTAGGCTTTTAATGCTTGTTTTTTGAGAGACAGAGAGAGTGTGAGTGGGGAGGGCCAGAGAGAGGGACGGAGAGAACCAGAGAGAACCCCAAGCAAGCTCCACACTGTCAGCACAGAGCCCTATGTGGGGCTGGAACCCATGAACCGTGAGATCATGACCTGAGCTGAAGTCGGACGCCCAACCGACTAAGCCAGCCAGATGCCCCTAAAAAATTATTTTAAAACAACAGTAGCTAAGACCATGGATTCTGGGGCCAGACATCTTGGGTTTGAACTCTAGCTCTGCTACTTACATGGTATGATCTTGGGAAAGTCAGTTAGCTTCACTGTGCTTCTATTTCCTCATATGTAAAATGAAGGCAATAATAGTCTACTTCTCAAGATTGGTTATGAGGATTAGATTAAATCAGTCACACACAACAGTGCCCAGTATATACTGTCATGTAAGCATCCACAAAGAAAAGAAAAAAGAAACAGACATTATCTACTTAAGAGTTGAACATATATATGCTCAGAGATAAAGAAATTACTGCAAATCACAAATGAAAGTCTAGATCTTCATTACTTTTAAGAACCTATACAGTTCCAGGGCGCCTTGGGTGACTCAGTCAGTTAAGCATCCGACTTCGGCTCAGGTCATGATCTCGCAGCTCATGGGTTTGAGCCCCGCGTCGGGCTCTGTGCTGACAGCTCAGAGCCTGGAGCCTGCTTCCGATTCTGGGTCTCCCTCTCTTTCTGCCCCTCCCCTGCTCGCACTCTCTCTCCCTCTCTCTCTCTCTCTCTCTCTCTAAGGATAAAAAAACATTAAAAAAAAATACAGGTATGCATATTAAAAAAAAAAGAACCTAAATACTTTCCAAAGATTCTCTAATTACATGTGAGAAGCTCACAAATTTTCTTCTCTGCAGTAATTGAAGCTGTATTTATTGAGTGCCAGGTTCTTACCATGTTACTTCGTTTACAATTCACAATAGCTTAAATTTAGTGTTACCATCCTGATTTCCCGTGAGAAATCTAGAAGTAATTTGCTTAAGGACCACAGTTCGGGGCAAAGCTAATTGTCTGACTGTACTTCTACACTATATTGCTGTATGTTACAAGAAAGATACAGTCCATGTAGGTTTACAGCAAAGTATCTGGGATAGCCAGTGTTTCCCCATCCCCACCCCCATCTCTTTCCTCCTAGACATAGAGCTTGTTCTTGATCCCTTCTTAAGCCGCTGGTCATAAACAGGAAGCATGGCTGGGGTGCAATAAATCTGGAGGCTGACGATATGTGGTTATTCAAGAGTTGTGGGAAAAGGGAGCCATCCCCCCTTAGTGGTGCAGTAAGGGTCTTTATTCTCAGGCTATCGCAAGAAGATCCTCATAGATGCAGGGGAGATGAGGAGAGCGGGGAAAGGAGGCGACGTGAGGGACAGAAAGCTCCTGTTCCTCATCAGCGTTGGCTCTGACAACAGAAAATACCAAAGGGCAAAAAGGCAGCATGTCCTTCAGGAGTGATGGATTTGGGGAGCTGGTCCTTGTACCACCTATAAAGCAAGAATACTTTTGACATTTTTCCATGCTTGGAAAAAATGAAAAAGAATGATGTTTTGTGACTTGTAAAAATCACATGAAATTCAGGGGCATTTGGCTGGCTCAGTTGGTGGAGCGTGTGACTCTTGATCTCGGTGTCATGAGTCCGAGCCCCATGTTGGCCATAGAGATCACTGTAAAACAATTATATGAAATTCAAATTCCAGCATCCATAAGTAAAGTTTTGCGGGTACACAGCCACACTCATTCATTTACATATTGTCAGTGGCTGCTTTGGCACTACAGTGTCAGAGGTGAATAGTTATGACAGGGACCACGGGGCCCCAGCAAGCCTAAAATATTTAGGATCTGACCCTTTAGGTCAAACTTGCCAGCTCCTGAGTTAGACAATGGAGGAATCAAGTGAAATAGTTCCTAAGTCGGGAGAATCCAGGGTTACATAGGTCCAGGTCAGGGGAAGGAGTGCAAAGGGCAGTACAGCTGGATTAGAGTAAGGGGAGAATAGAATACAG